TGAATACTGTCAAATAACCAGGAATAACAACCAAAAAAATAAATGCTGTCTGATGGAGAGGTTAGACAGAGCAAAAACTGACGACTTTTATGAATGTAAACCTATGCGAACATAGTTTTTAACAGCATCCGAATTCCAACGGCCCATCTTCTGAATAATATGTTCAGGAACCCCTCTGGCAGATGCTGATGTAGCAGCACCTATCCGAAAACTATGCCCTTTATAAAGATTGGGGTCTAATTGAATGAAACCGAGAACCGATTGAAGCATTTGGCAAAACCATGCGTATGATACCGGTAAAGAGTACGAAAAATGGAAGAGGGGGCCGGTTTTATGCTGATAGAGTTGTAAATAAGAATGTAATGTGGAAACTGGGCATAAGAATGGAGTAGGACAGGTAGAAATCTCAATGAAAAATTACCTCAGATCACTGTGTTTGTCATGGACTGCAAGTTTTGAGTTTGTCCGAAACCTGTGAAAGAAATGTCATGAACCTGAAGGACTTGGTCTGGTTTGTTATTCTGGTTGACAGTAAACTCACTTATACGAAGGAAAGCGTGAAATGCTAGTAGAAACATTGATCTGCAAAGCAGGGCTTTACGAAAAGATGTAAACACTTTGTCACTGGCATAACAAAGTTTTTCTAAGATGTCAAGAGTGATGGGCAACCTACAGTCATACCGCCGTTTTGTGTTATGTACACCCCTCAACAATTGTTTGATAAAAAATGACGAGGTGGGGTCAGGTGGGTCATACTCGATAACAAAACTTAAAGGGAAATTCTTTCCCAAACATTGAAAATAAGGATTAAAATGTTATCAGAGGGCCCATCATACTCAAACAGCCAATATGCCAGGGAATAATTCTATAAATAATGAAAATATTCCCTTGAAACACATGGGATGAGGGTGGGTCGTTCTCGATAACAAAACTTAAAGGGAACAAACCTGAATTTGATTAGAAGGCTAGAAGGCATAAAAAAGGTAGTAAATAAATAAAAACCAATGGAAAGAAATACACAACATAAACTATCCCATACCTTGAAGGACTGAAATGTCTGTCTATAACCGGCGAGAATAGAAAATTATGGCGGATTTCATGCTGCGATAATATTTTCTCATCCCTGCCAGATTAAGATGCACTTTGTCGGACAGGTACAAAAGGTGTGGGTTTGCCCAGAAACCACGGTGGTGCCAAAATGAAAGCAAGCCATGATCTTTCACCATGGCCTCGAGCAAAATGTTCAACTGTACAACATTTTCATTGTAAATACGATGATCACCAGCAAATCTAGGAATGAGCTGTGTAATAACATCACGCTGCACGGAGGGTGCATTCGAAACAAGTAAGGCAAAGTTAATTATATCGAGGGCGAGTTCGTGTATATCACAATGAAGTCTAGATAAGTCATTTCCCCCACATTGAAGTAACACAATCCTCGGTAGAACACGTCTTAAAACAGTTAAATCGTTCAACAGAGACTTGGACCCTGGACGTACGGTCTCCCCGCCGATACCATGAAACGAAACCTGGATTTGTTCTCTAAGCAGACCTAAATTTTCCGCTTCATTTCGATCATTCGAGGTGAAGTCACTCAGCCTCCGAATGTAAGAATGTCCCATTATCAAAACTGGGATACCCATGATAGACAATACAACGACTACGTGAGCTTGGAGAAATGTACAGGAGAAAGTAATTGGTTAAACGATACCTTGTTTAGCTGCTGGAACAAACTTCTTGTAGATTTATCCACAAATCCGGGAAACACTACGTGAGCATAGGCCTATATATGGCACGAAGTTCTTATCATCAATATCCAAGACACTTAAATATAACAAAGTCAAAAAACACTTCGAAAGATATTAAACGTAATCAGCAGAAAAATTATGAGGAGTGATGAAGATATGACGCGGTCAAAATCACGAAGAGGTGCGCGCCTCGCTGATTGGTCAATCCAGGCCCTGACCGCCTAGCATCACGGCTACTGCCGCTGGTCACGTGAACAGCCCCTGTGACTGGTCAACCTAAAACCGTGACCGCATAGCGAGTTGCCCTACACGGCCCTTTTAGCTAACACGTGCGCACACATAACATCCAAATAACAAGAGATACAAACTACATAGGGTAACAGATGGTCACCAGGTGGTCAGAGTTCAAGATCTTATTCCAAATAACAAAATCATGCAAGAGCCAACTTACATAACATTATAATGTGAAGAACATCTGTAGGATTATGACAAATATACATATATATATACATGAATATATAAAGTAACCATCTAACACAAATGTATTTATTTCATGAAATAAATTTTATTTGTTTTTTTTTTCATTGTTAATAACGGCTACATAAGGACATGCAAAAAGTAATCACAGTGAGACCTTCAATATGAAAAATGGTAGGTCTCGATTAACACTATCGTTTAACACAGATTTACGTTTAACAAGATTTACACTTACAAAGCAACGCTTTGGAAATTTTTAAAATTTCCCCGAGATGGAATTTTGTTGAAGAGCTACCTTAAAATGATCAACCACTTCCCCTTATAAATCATGTGTCTGCTCACTTTTTGCAAATTTCACTGAATGTAATTTGTTTTCCTCGAAGCAATAGTCATAACAATTTTATTTTGGCTGTGTATAACGTTCGAAATATCAAGATCAAGTTGAATGTTTCGTTTATATTCAGAATTACTATTATCAATATTGTAACAGTCTTAATGGTCTGTCAGCACATAAAAGGTCATTAGGGTCATAAACAGTGAAACACATCGCGATCCAATAGGGAAAAAATACGTCAAACAAACTAAAACGTAAAAGACAAATGCTAAAAAACACAAAAGATTAAAATGGTAAGTCATAGTTTGTAATATGGACCAACATCTTTCAGATAACCTAGAATTTTATCAATCTCAGCCGTTTTGAAAAGGATCTTAATACTTGTTACATAAAGATAAAAAAAATTCTGAGTAGATAGACGGTCAATGCAGTACAATAAAATGTTTAACGGTGAATGGCTCATCACATCCTATGCACCGAGGATTATCTTTCAACATATATTATTGTGTAAGGTATGTATGGCCCATCCGAAGACGTGAAAGAACAACGTCTTCTCGGTGGTTGTCTCTATAGAATAAAGACAATTTACCGATGATAGGTTTTCATGCGTTTTATTATTGGTATATTAATTCCATCCTCCTGCCACTGAGCTGTTAAAATTGTTTGATAAATGGTTTAAAATTTGTAAAATGGAGTTTAAAAACAAAAGGTGGTAGCGATAACGCTTCCTTTGCGGCACGATCTGCTTTTTCATTGCCTGGTATTCCCATGTGCCCCGGAATCCAACAAAAGCAATACGAAAGTTCATTATTAGTATTTATGTATTACAAATGAAAATATTTTCGATATTTCTGAACTGCTTTATTATCTTAACAAAAAATTAAAACTTTCCGATCAGAAGGTATTCATTTTTTAGATAATAGAGCAGTACTAGCATGTTGATCAGCTAAATTTATAATTTGATCAGGCCAACTAAAACAATTGGAATCTTGGACTTTGTTGTCAGTAAATATCGGCGATATTGCTCTTGGTTGGTGCGATAAAATCATATACTGACACCATCAAAATTCTATAATTGTATAGTATGCAACAACTACATCTGAACGACAAGATGAACAAAATAGGCCATCAGTCCTTTTCGGTATGAAAAAAAATCAATCTAGTTTTGTAATCATACTACTTTATATGACTGTTGTTTATGGCGACACAACAATATGCCGCAGCTGTCTTTAGATAGGAACTTGCTGCAGTCAGTATTTGATTAAACCTTCCAGGTTTCCATAATTTTACATAATATCGAGTGATATGCTACTTATCTACAATTAAAATGACATCAAAATATTAAAACTAAATATTTATCATCAGTTTCAATGTTTCAGTTTGAGTTTATGTAATTATATTATTTATCATAATTATAACAGTGTCGTGGAAGATAGGCTATCACTCCTGGGACTCCTTTTCATGTCAGAATAATTGATATAACGTGATTATACTGTACATACGTAAATTACGTAGATAACATATTTGCTATCATGGTGATATCATTACTACTATAATTAGAATACGTTTGATACAGGGAAATATAATGTACATAAGAAATGTTACCGAATTGTATATTAAAATAGAATTGATTATAATTACATACATACAAAAAATCATCTTGGTCCTGCTGGAAAATGCCTGTTCCCGTTTTAAAGTGCTTTTGTAAAATACTCTTAAATCGACAGCGTTTAAATTATCAAAATAAAGAATGTACATCTAATAGATTAACAATGTATTTTCATAATCTTTAAATAATACATGATATGACGAGAAGGGCTCAGAATATTGCATTTTAATCAAGGCAAAGGTGTGATAACATTTTTCAATACCAATAAACATACAGTAGATAGTTCTCTCGTCCTTTGTGTGCTCGTCGGTTATTCTAAAGACCTAAAAAGTTTAAACCTTGGAGGTAACGTGGAAAATAAAAAGGCCCAAATAAATGTTAAAACCCAAATTAGGAGATCCATTTATCCCAAAATTCAATAAATTTCATAGTTTCATTAAAAACATAAAGCCCAAACAAAAAAGCCCAACAGCAGTGTCTACTATCAACAAAGCTCGAAGATTGTTCGTAAAAACACAAAAAGCAAATTCAACGTTTGTTTAATACAAATTTATAATGGGTATATTAAATGAAAAAAGTGAATGAAACTGCAACAAACACATGCATATGTACAAATATCACGATGATAAATTTCTATTATATCAAGAAATACTATACCTTATGATTATGATATTTCAACCCTTACTGGTATGTAGCACTATTGTGTTAATACAATCCAGAATAGTTTCGAGTGAGGATAAAATCATACTTACTATGAATGTAAATTCACTAACAGTGTTTCAAATATTACACATTTATTTGAAAGGTTTCACATCGATATACATCTAGCCTTTTATGTAGTTTCGTATAGATGTGGAACGTCTTTATCTCCAGGTCCAAGTTTTTCATAACTGCCTTCATCAGGCGATATTTTCGTGGTGATTTGTTTGCTCGCCATTGCACCTATTACTTCGTACTGTCCGTCTGAAACCAAAAGCGGATGGAAGGTACGTTTATTGGCTAGGAATTTCAATAGTTTAATATATATTTGAGTATCAGAAGCTACTTACTCTTGCGGATCACCTGGTCTTATTCCCCTTGTACGTGTTTGGATTATGATTATGTTGACATGCTGGTATTATCGTGTTGGTTTGTTATGTATAACATGGATGAGGTTTGATAGAAATATTTGGCAAAACAATACAAGATTTACCCATTTCTGTAAGTCAATTAATTAACGGTCTGAGTATAAGTTGTTGGTAGATGAACCGATCGGAAGATATAGATGAAAGGAATGTGTCGTATCGACTTTCCCTCCATGCCACATAATGGTAATGTGCTTGTTAAAAAAATTGTCACCTGAATCTCCTGGCAGCTCCTGTCCGATACTCGACATGGATATGTTAGCCGTAGTGGCAGATCTGGTGGTGTCCGTATTGGTCCTTGAATGAAGTCGCCTTGCCAATACGATGATCACAATGACCAGCACAATAACGACCACTCCCAATCCGACTCCTATTCCGACTGCCGCGACATTGAAGTCATCCTCCACACCCGGTATATAAACAACTACAATAACAGACCATATATCAACAAATGTCTAACAAATCTTTAATTATATATTCGCACTTTTGTTGAATTTTAAAATGATTCTAACAAATAACATTGATTGTAAATGCCATATCCTTTATACATAACATTTTTACATCATATTTTGATTATCGAAATAATGTTAATTCCTGTAGGTTTACATTTTTATCGCCAAGGTACCTTTGATGTCACATTTATCACCAGTAAGTCCATTTTCACACGGAGACAAACAAGTCCCGGTGTCCTTGTCGCAATTTTCATCCTGACAGTAGCCACACATGTCTAAACATGCGTGGCCATAGAAGCCGGAATTGCATTCTTTAAGAAAAAATGAAAATGTAACTATCATAACAGGTAGAGATTAAAACCGAAATCAGCTATTGGATATGTTTTATCACTATTGTGGTAACGCACTCGTCTTTCACCAATGCGTCTGCGGTTCAATAGTCACAGATTTAATATATCTCTTCAATTAAAACAAATGTGCTGGTGTCGTTGTATGATATTGATGTTTTTATAGTTTCATATCACAAGTTTAGGTCATGGAAATTTCCATCTACAATGAATTCTGTCGTGTGTTTGAGAGCATCATACACATCAGCATGCAGAGATTAGAGAAAATTCAGTATTGGATGTCAGGACGTTAGAACAGTAAATAGTAGGAATGTAATTGATATATAGACCATTAATAAAACGTACGTTTTGTGTCTAATTGAGACGTCGGTATTAAATTAAAATCAATGTAAAATGTGGTTTTGTTTTCTAGTAGAATCTGCCTGAATGCTAACTACCTTGATTTGATATTTGTTTTGGTAGATTTCAAACATATTTGATTACAAGAAGTGAATTGTACTCTTGTTTCATACCTTCACATTGTCCGTAAGACTGGATGCAGATGTTATCTTTACATTGTTGAGGGCAGCGGGAGTTGCATGTATTTCCAAAAAACCCTTGTTTACACCCTGAACGTTCACAGAAATTCAGTTGTTTCAGATTGATTGGAAATTACAAGGCTTTATATTTTTTCATACATATCAGATATCCAAGGTTTGGTAAATGTTTCGGCCGATATATTTTTATCAATGTGTGATCGATTTTCAGTTCATCGACAAGAACTTAAAAGGAAAGAACACATAAACTGGAATAATTTCTTAAATTTGGCCATGATGTTTGAAATAAAAGCATTCCATTGAAAAACTGAAACATCAATACATAGGAAGCAATATTAACCTATACAAACGCCATTTGCTTGGACACATAGGTTGTCATTACAGTTAGATGGACATGTCTGGTCACATGTACTGCCAAAATACCCCGAAGCACATCCTGAAAATAGTACAAAAAAATCAACTCATATCTTCATTCAACAATGAGTTTCATATTGGATATCAATTGAATATGCTAAATTTGAATGAGTCTCCTTAGATAAATGTTAGTCTTACACGAAAAAAACATAAACATAAACCCGTAATGTGCGGTATCATACACGCCATCAAAATTTCCCGACCCGTCACCAATATCATTAACTTGTAGGTAAACGTTGCTATTCTTTTTTATGCATGTATTGTAACAATGTAATAATGTCTGCAGACAAGAATAACGTCCTTGGGTGCTTTATCTACAGGCACAAAAAAAAAAAAAAAAAACAAAAACAAAAACAAAAACAAAATGAAATAAAAATCACGAACATTGTACAACAAAAATCAGTTCTTGAGTAAACCCGTACCTGTACACCAACCACTGATCTGGATACATGATTTCTTCCCACAAGTTGACGGACAAATCCGATCACACTTAACACCGTGATAACCAGGTTCACATTCTGAAAGTTTTGAAGTTAATAACTCATTTAAATAATGTACCATATCCAGGCTTAGGTAAATACTCACAGATTTGATATATATCTTTAATTAAACCAAATGTGCTGGTGTCGATGTATGGTATTGATGTTTTTATAGTTTCATATCACAAACGGAATTTGAACTTATGTGATATTTACGTTTAATTACATTGTATGGAATAAGAAAAGCATTCTGATGACATAACGTTGAATCGCCGTACATAATCTACCACTGACTTGATTGAAACTAGACAATTAAACTCTTTTAAGTTAGGTCATGTAAATTTCCATCTACAATGAATTTTGTTGTGTGCTTGAGAGCATCATATACATCAGCATGCAGAGATTAGAGAAAATTAAATATTGGATGTCAGGATGTTAGAATAGTAAAAAGTAAGAATGTGATTGTTGGATATATAAACCATTTATTAATGAAACGTACGTTTTATGTCTAATTGAGACGTCGGTAGTAAATCAAAATCAATGTAAAATGTGGTTTTGTTTTCTAGTAGAATCTGCCTGATTGCAAACTACCTTTATTGGATATTTGGTTTGCTTGATTTCAAACATATTTGATTACAAGAAGTAAATAGTACGCTTGTTTCATACCTTCACATTGTCCGCTAGACTGGATGCAGGTGTTATCTTTGCATTGTAGAGAGCAGCGGGAGTTGCATTTGTTTCCAAAAAACCCTTGTTTACACCCTGAACGTTCATAGAAATACACTTGTTTCAGACTAAGTGGAAATAACAAGGCTTTATATTTTTTTCATACATATTGCATATCAGATATCCAAAGCTTGGTAAATGTTTCTGCCGGTATATTTTTATCAATGTGATATCAATTTTCAGTTCATCGGAAAGAAAACACATTAACTGGAATAATTTCCTAAATTTGGCCATTATGTTTGAAATAAACGCATTAAGTAGCATTATTAACCTATACAAACGCCGTTTGCTTGGACACATAAGTTGACATTACAGTTAGATGGACATGTCTGTTCACATGTACTGCCAAAATATCCCAAAGCACATCCTGAAAATAGTACAAAAATGAGGTACAGAAAATCAACTCATATCTTCGTTCGACTTTAAGTTTAATATTGGATATCAATTGAATATGCATAAATTTGAATTAGTCTTCTTGGATAAATGGTAGCCTTACATGCTATTCGTGTCAGCAGGAAATTTCTAAAAAAAAAACCCCGTAATGTGCGGTATCATACACGCCATCAAAATCACCCGACCCGTCACCAATACCATTAACTTGAAGGTAAACGTTGCTATTCTTTTTTATGCATGTAATGTAACAATGTAATAATGTCTGCAGACGTGGAACACGTCATTGGATGCTTTATCTACAGGTACATTAACAAATCATTTGAATATAAATGAGAATCAACCTTATGATAGGATCACTTGTCAGAAATCCGATATTTCCACAGGGAAGCACTAGAAGCGGGTATGAGGTACTGTCTGTGACCGTATAAAATTATTTATACCGTCTACTTATATCGCTGAAATGGAAGCTTTTGTTCTGATTGGGGAGGTTATTGCCTTTTGGTGATCCTCCTGTCTCAGAGTAGAAAAGAGGTGACCTTGCCGATGTACCACAACATGTAGGGTTCTAATGACCTTTGATAATTTAACAAAGATGAACAGTCGATACTTCATTTATTGCTTTCAAAAATGTATACTTACAGGGGATCATAATTGATCATGGTTATTTTTTATGTACTACAGCAAATATAAACCTTTCGCTCAACGATTCACATAATTGTACAAGAGACTAATGGTCTCATAGGTCTCTGGCAACTTGTTTACTTCTCAATGTTGTAGTCCCTATGCTAACACTGAGCTTGACTTTAAAACGTTTAAAAGTTGTTAGTGTCTCGATGACAAAAATGTTTAACGAGGGCAAATTGATAAGTTTTTGTCTCGATTAATAATAAGATCAAATAAATTGTGAACTAAAGGTATTTTGAGTACTCACGTTTAGTCTTAAGGAGTTGGTTCGACAATCAAACAGGTTCGGCAACCATGTTGACTTCGAGATATAAAAGCATCCAGAAATATATTGCATGCTTCAGGATTATTTTCATAACTATTGCTATATTTAAAGTCATATTGACATTAAAATGAGTTATCTTTTAGCAATTAAACGGAGACCATTATATGCACGCTTCCGGTCAGAGTAGGATTATAATACTCTTCAATGTATATGTCATATACGTAGCTTACGGATATTCCGCAAATGGGAATTGTAATACACGATAATCTGCCCAGTTCCACGTGGCTGATCTACTAGGCAATCAACCCGATCGCTCGGTGTTCTCCACATGCAGTGTTTGAGCCTATACGGAGCCTGAATAGCTTGTTACGTTACAAATGACATCTTGGCGATATTAGCAAGCAGTAATGATAAGATACAGTAGCAGCACAAGCACTTTTTAAATACTTTAAAAGTTCGCCATTTTAATAACAGAACTCAATTAAATCAAATTGGTAATGAAATTCTAGTATAATACTGAGTTTCGAAATTGATGGAAAATTATGACGACATTAGTTTCATAAGGAAATGGTGCTAAATATGTTTCACGTGCTGCACACTTGAAAATTAAAAGGGTAGCGGAGATATCGGTGCCGGAATTAGTCTCATTACTCAACACCAGGATATGAATATTGATGAAGAAAAGTCACGTGATACGTTCAGACGCGGTCAGAGCCAAAACAGAATGGAGGAAGAGGTGAGTAGTACGTCCATGTGACATCGCTTGTAAAAAGAATTTACCGATAAATGCAATCAATACTCTATATATCCTGTATGGAAATCATCTAACGTATATATTGATCACATCTTTCAATGCTTAAATATGACACAAAAACGTGCAGATAATGAGAAAAGATATGATTAATTACAAAGAGGCCCTCAAATGGGGCAGCGATACGGTAACGAACATATAGAACATCGCGAAATGGATCTATCTAAAGCGAAAATTCGATGATAAGAGTATTTATGAATATGATTTTAGAGTGATACTACACGAGAGAACCAAACAGAAAGCGATACAGTGTATGAACCAGCTATCTTCCTTCTTTTCGCTTCAAAGTCCATCATAACACGTTTTCTTCCCCGCTTCCCTCGCACGCTTTCTGCCGTGTTGGAAGACGGCAGATTTATTTACAGTTTTTTGCGCATGCGTCAGAGGGCAGGACTTCCTGCATAATTATGAATTAGCACTTTCGAATCTTTATTTTTTAAAAACTATTTATTTACTTTAGATTGGTAGCGATTTACTTTAAAATTGTATTACAGGATTAGCGAGAACTTTTCTATAATAGAAAATCATGATTTTTTTAAAATATAAAATAGTATCGGTCGAGGAGTGGGTCTTGTCTTGTCTTTAATTTGTGTTTAGGCAAAGTCATGCACTATATCAGTAATTAAGCAATTTTGTTACATGTTTTTGATAATGCATTGTTGTATTTATCTTGATATTTGGCAAATGAAAAAGGAAATATCTACAATGAGGAGAGATTATCTACTTTCTAACCACAGACAAAACCTCGAGCTGAAACAGCCCCTTACGTGGGGATTTTTCTGGTCTACCTTAGCACTTTGAAAAGACCATTTCTATTCCATCTATTTGAACCTTTCGATTTCAATATTTTTTGTCGTCAACTGCAACGACAAGACATTAACACAACTTCTGGCCAACACACAGTAAATTATCTCCATACCAATGCATAGTCCATCGTTCTGCAGACAGGTATTATTCATACAGTGCTCAGAGCAATTCATAGTACATTGCATCCCATAGTAGCCATTTGTACACACTGCAACGAAAAGTTGTGATAGTGCTTCGTTATCAATATTTATACAGTGTTTAGAAGAAAGAGTTGGAATTGTTCATATTAAGGCAGAATTTAAATCATTGCTTTGGAATGAATTACAGTCATGACAGCCAAACTGATGTTAACATTTTGACGATTTCACAAATCACAAAAATAAACCGAGCGGTTTTGATTTGTTTGTTTAATTTTCCAGTAATTTCTCATCACATCTACATCAATTTGATTCATTATGTGCGTGCATTACATACCATGAAAATGCTTATGTTTCATACCTTTTACATAACATTTCATAGCTTTATGGAATAAAATGCAGTTGTATTTCATACATTAACATCTGAAAGATTAACACTTGATAATGTTATTGCATCACATTTAGAAACAGCAATAAACAATATGAGGTCACTTATAACTTGTTGAACGCATACCTTAAGTGTCAAGTGACTGAAAACTTACAATTACACATTCCAGATGTCTTGCTACAAACGGGATCCAAACAATTACTGGGGCAGGCAACGCAATATGGCCCAAAATAGCGATCTTCACAATCTGATTTAACAACCAGTCAACATATATGTTATTAAAGCTTTATGTAAACTGTCATTCTACATGTGTACCTCAAACATATTAACAATTACAACATCCTAGAAAAATGCATATTGCAATATTTGCTGTATAATATCTGTTTCGTCGGAACATAGAACGCTTTCTATTTTATTGACGCGGCGTGGGCGAAGGGTAATGACATCAATGAGTGAAAGGTACAACACGCATCGATATCGTAATGTTCGTGCCAAATCGGTGATTAATTATATTTGTACTTTGTTGACTTCTGAAAATGATGACAGTCCGAAATAATAAATAATTTACTAAGTAGCGTTTGGTGTAGCCTTTGCGAGGTAGGTTTAGACATTTGTCATTTTGATGTTCAAAGTATTAAAAAATATGTATTTGTTTTAGATGCTTGAGTGTGGGCGCATTCTGGATCTAGTATACATATATGTTTTAGAAACCCAGAACATATCAAGTGCCGTCTAATATCTGTCATTTTAGGAACACTAACCAAAAACAGTAGAACTTTAACATTGAAACCCTTACCTCTTCATTGTAGGAATGTGTATCTGATTCCATTACGAATCAAAATGTTAAAAAAGGTAATAGGAGAATGTATGTCACGAGTCTTGGAATGTATTTTTTGAACTCATTTACTGGACATTGGGGTTCAAAATGAAGACAAGGGGAAGGACACAATAAAATCCCGATCATGGGTTGTACTCTTCGTAAACATCTCTATCGATTTAATCATTGTTATTTTCTGTTGATAGAAAATACTTTGGCTTTTTGTTATAACTACTCAAACAACAATATTTGTTCATTTTATGGTTTATGTAACTGTAAGATACGTTGTAAATTTTCACCTTCTCTGTAAGGGTGGCCTCTTTCATTCATTTTCATTGTTGTGTATCGTTTCTTGTCGTAGTGTGCAGATACATAAAAAATGCTTTATCACTTAATCAGTTAACTTATACGGATCTTCGATCTGAATGATAAGGGCCAAAACAATATCGGATTCTGCTGCATTAGATTCAATTATTAAGAAATCATTGTGTGACGATATTATTCAGATTAATCTTGATTAAATTTCATTATGGGTCTAACGTTTATACACGTTTTTTCTACATTAAAGATATGAAAACATATACTATTTAACATCACGTAAAAGAAGGCCCACGTGTTGGTAAAAAAAATGGAAATGGCGATGGGGATTTATTTTGCCAAAGAGTGGATATTTGTTTGTCTGGGGTTGCACATCCTTGCGACAATCAATGTCAAAAGAATATTGAGACATCGACGGAAAAGACAGAGAAAAAAAGAAAGAAACTAAAGTAAAATTCTTAATGCTGCTATAAAGAGGGCCAATTAAGTTTTATCTTATCTATGTCCTCTTAGAAGAATACAAGGATGAATGTATTAAAATATGTCGCTTAAAATCTGCAATTTAGAAACATGTTTATTGCTTCTCCGACCCTGCACTGATAATTTGTACTATTGTACTTCGAGGATTATATCGATTACAAAAATGTACGAAAATAAATCAAAATATATCGGGAAATAAGCAACTTTCAAATGATGTTTAAATTCTCCGTCACAATCTTGAAAATGTCGACGGAGTATTGAGTCTTTAGCTTAATTGTTGGCATTCAGGGATACTGAAAAATGGAAAATGTAATAAAGGAAACGTTGGCATTGTCTACGCTTATCATTCAATAACAGCTTATCTTATTCTCCTAACAAATGTAAAAGCGCTTGCGTGAAAATCATTTGTCCACATATTACTTCCCGCTTTACAAACTGAATTCCTTTTACAAGTTTATTACCTTCACGTTTTGTTTTAAGATCCCGTATATTTTTCCTGTAACTGACATTAATTATTGATATCCCAAGGCTTGGGATGATCTACGTACCTCTGCATGTTCCATTTCCCTGATTGCATACGTTACCCTTACAGTGATCAGAACATCGTTGGTCACATTTCCTGCCATGGTAACCATCAACACAATCTGTGTAAAGATATAAAACATTTTTACAAATCATAACACAAATAAAAGACATGTTGCTGATGACAATGGCAACAGGCTTGCTAAACAAGCAAGACAATTTGAACACGATAAAACATTAAATCTTTAGAAGGCGTCAATGAAGACTATTATCCACATTTCAATTCAATACGACTTGAATCCAAAAAGTGACGTAACAAGGTTACTTCATATCTGTTTTGTTTATATATAGTTAGGTAATATCACGCTAGGTTTTTGTGAAAAGTTCTTTCGTTTGTTTGGACTCAAACGTGCTTGATCTTTATATATTGGAGTATCGGATGATTTTAACACAAAACGTCCATATCTATATTAGCACCTTCATATAGAATCTAGGGAAAGGCAATGAGTTAAGTATGTTTTCATTGAGAGACGAATATCGTTTCTTACTGATGCAGATAACAAGTTATCTGCGGTTTTCCCATTTTAGAAATTGGTTTGTATTCTTTCATAAAACAGTCTTGTATCCATATAAAGTTTGTATATATAACTACTTATGATTTCGTCATACTTGAAGATATTTGAAATCTTCTTCAATGGAATGACATTATACGCTGTAATGACTACGTTCCAATCGACTTTGAATTTCCTTTACTACAAACGACGTACATTTACATCAACCTGATAAAATTGTGTTCAAATTTCAAACAAAATATTGAATTTATACGAAACGATTCACTAATTCGGTATCCCTCGGTAATTTCCGTTTTAACTAAGAGTTAGTCATATCCACTTATATTCCGAGTTTCAATGACATGTCATACAAAAATATTAAATGAAACATCATATCTTTTGTTAGGTATTTTTTTTTTGGAACAGCAAGCCTCACGTGTCCTCAAAAGTAAGTTAATAATTAAATAATGGAAATATCGATTTCTTTTTTTACTTGCTGCTTGCTGAATACTCATTACAATGGACGGGTTAGTAATTGACCCGTTCCTATCGAGGGTGTAATATTAGGACAAATTTTAGAACAAAATATTGTGATGCCTTACAAATCATATGAATATGAAATGAAGACGCAAAGCAAGGGATATGTTTTTTATTGAAAAGTAATGCTCATCCTCGTATATAAAGAAATCGATTTTGCATTTGATACAAATCTGTCGCTATATAGCGTTCTGTGTAAGATTAATTTGCCCAGAACGATAAATAAATCCTTGTACACAGGTATGAGTGTTACATATGGTAAACGGAAATATAAGGGGAAAAATGGTCACGAGACGATATGAACGAGTTCAACACCTAAGGCAATATAAAGAAGAAGAATGAAAGAATGTTCATGATTTCCTTCCTGGGGTTTAATTTAATGATCGGACGTAAAATCGCAACAATTCACGTATTCTCTCCCTATCAAGACCACTGCAGCCTAGTTATATCAGCAATAAATCCTAATGTTCAAACACATCAATGTAATATATAAGTTTAATATGTAATTACGAAGTTGGCAAGTGGACACTCTGCTCAGTCGTTTGTTTTATCCTTATAAATGAAAGATACATGACATCTAAAAATTTAATGATCGGACGTAAAATCGCAACAATTCACGTATTCTCTCCCTATCAAGACCACTGCAGCCTAGTTATATCAGCAATAAATCCTAATGTTCAAACACATCAATGTAATATATAAGTTTAATATGTAATTACGAAGTTGGCAAGTGGACACTCTGCTCAGTCGTTTGTTTTATCCTTATAAATGAAAGATACATGACATCTAAAAACCTACACTTAAGTAGAAATCATTAAATTGCAATGTCTTTTTCTAAATGAGAAAAATTGCAATATAAGACCTCTAATTTTAAAATGCCTAACTATAGGATTTAGTTTTTATTTATTTATTTATTTTTTGTTTTGTTTAGTTTTTGTCCTTGCTTTATTTTTGTTTTGTTGTTTCTGGTTTATCTAGTTCTTTTTGAATGTCCATGTACGTGGGATTACTTCTTCAAGTAGGTAGCGTATGAATAATAACCGGTTTCCTAATTATGTTGAGTCAGGTATGCGTTACATATGTCATTGCAAGGGGCAATCATAGATTATTGTTCAACGACGTTATGAATTGACATTCTTAACAATGCATAAATATAAAAATGTTATACGCCTAATTAGTCGACAGTGAAGCATATTTTCCAATGTGCTTGGTCCAACACAATGACATTTTACCGAATCTGCATACTTTGGGTAAATATTTTTCGGGTTGGGTCCATCACCGAGGAAATAAGCCGGACTGTTGACTGATATAATACACCTGTCAGTCTGGATGTATGTACAATGACGACAATAAAAAAAATAAATTTGCAACATGATACGTTTAAAACAACGGTAGCAAACATTAAACATTTTCATTGAACAATGCCTATACAAGTCGAAACTTTGCAAGGTATTTCAAATGTCAGTGGTCTTCACAACATAATTGGACAGGGAAATTCCGTAGGGTAAGATAACAGATAAGTTATTAATGGTAGCAGAGCTCAGGTTTGACAGAAATATAACAGAGGCTAAAAATACAGCACGTTGAATGCACGAAAGAGCATGTACATATTGCCAGGGCAATATGGCTATGCATTGAATAATAAACCGATATTCATGTGAACGATTGAAAGGCTAAGCTGTACACAGTTCCTTTTTGTAATATACAAAGCGAAGAACAGAACCTTCCCAAATTAGTATTGAAAATATATTTGACTACGATATGATTCCTTATGTAGATGTCCATTCTCGTAGCCGAATATCAGTTTGACACATTATTACCATAGACGTACCTTCACATTCTCCTGTATGTTGGTCACATACCCCATCCTTACAGTTGACAGGGCATGTGTTGTCACAGAAGCTTCCATAGTTCCCCTTCACACAAGCTGAATCAACGTATATTACAATGTAATAAGCATTTTCACTCACATTTCGAAACATAAAGATGTATAAGAAAGTTGTGTATTATATCAGGTATGTAGTTAAGGATTGTCGACTCTGATCATCAAATTCACGTCTTAATTGTAGAAAAGTGCCGCAACGTATAAGCATTACAAACACTGATTTGATGGTGTATAAATCCTTACGTGAGTAATACTCCTTCTTTTAAATAGAAATGAAGTTATTTTCTGAGTTACAGGTACATGTATTCAGACAATTTCAATCATAACAATAAAAGTAAAATGAATTCAATGTGCAATTAGAAATGACACAGTACTTACATGCGCAAACGCCGGTCTCCACATCGCATATTTTCCCGAAACAATTATCAAAACATCCTACACACAAAGCCTTGTTTTTGAAAAATCCTTCTGCGCAATCTAAAATTGATTTGACATTTTGTCAGGAGTAGCACACACCTATTTTAGTATTAAGATACGACTGTACATATCAGAGCCCCAGAGAATAGTTTAAAACGACGAAGTAAGCACTATCAATAGTTGTACAGGTACTTCAGGGGATTTTATACATGTTTACATAAACTTGTAATGAAACCAAACACTGTAAAACAAATTATTGTTGATGTCGAGGTAGTTATTATATGAATGACTGCATTTTGGTCTGACTTACCAAACGTTACATTATATTTGACACTCATGAATAAAGTGTCATATCTAAAATTCATCTTTTTCTATTTTCTATTTACAGTTTTTTCTTCAACGAAAAACTTCCTTTTCGAGCATAAGACTGCTACTCAGCACAATGTACGAAGGTGTTAAGATATTAAAATCCATATTCTAGAATTTCTGCTGTAAATATAGAGAAATATGAAGGAAAGATTTGTTGACATTATGAAAACATTAAACGTTACCTCTATCGCTTAAACAACATGGTTATCAATCAAGTGCTATACAACCCTGTTAATCTAAAGTAAAAGAAACAGTAAGCTCGTCCTTGTACCAAAATCTTGTATATAATTATTCACATTCCTTCTGCAAATACTTGAAATCTTAGCCCGCCTAGTATAAACATACTATGTATGTATTTTTATGATCAGGTACAGTGCAAACGCTCAACTGTCTTGAGTTATCAAATCAAAAGTTTAAATCAATCCACGAGAGGTGTCGAATTATTAACTTACATGTACATCGACCAGTGTTAGGGTGACAAAGGTTGTTAAAACAGGTTGTATCACAGTTGGAATCACAGCTGTTGTTACCAAATTTCCTCAGTGGACAACCTGAAAGTTATGTATGTAATACATCCTTAGGGGCACAGAAAGCAAAGTTGTAATAATATAATAATAATATTGTTATCAGTGTCTAAAATGGATTCAGATTATTCTGTCTGATTTGTTATTATATAAATATTTCAAAGAAAACGTCAGTGTATGTGAATTAAATGATTTCTAACGTTGTAAATATGAAGATCGATAGAGGCATGTTTATACCTGATATTTCCGGCGCATATTATCTCAGTTTGTGGCTTAAAAAGTACTTTACATGATAAAGCATGCATACAATGATTGATGGTTTTTAGACGTATAAAAATAACTCTGACTGAAGTAAAAAAACAGGAATATATACGTAATGATGTGTGCTCTTTTTTATTGTGTATCAAGTATTGATATTTCAATACAGTAATGTAGTGGTATATGATGAAAGGATAAAATCTTCGTATGCATGAACTAGTAAGCAATGATCACGGAAAATTAATCATTATTTTCATAGCTTGATTTCCTTGTTAACTTCAGGTCAAACGTTCAATTGCTTTTGAGTAGGACATATATAACATTGTACCCTGAACTGTTTGCTATATTTAGCCATAGAATACATATCATTATACAATAAAAGACCATTAAAGTGAAAACGTCGTAGTTAATCCATTTTCTCCGATTCTGTGATTTATCTGAAAGTACATCTTTGAACCAGTGGCGATCGCCTCGATATGGGTCGCCCGCATCTGTGACGTTACCAGTTCAAAGACAAAACATCCCAATAGAAATATGCAAGAAAACCTCCAAAGTTCTTCGAGCTTTTCAGCTACTAATGTGCTATATTCCGTTGACATTTACTTCTGTATGTTATATCAAAATAGAAAGGACTTTTTACAATTTGAATTATGGCATTACTTCCTTTCGAGTTGGCAAATAATGCAGTGTATATAGACCCACGTTTAAATAATGCTTAGTGTTTTTGCCTTTGTCCTTTTGAAAACGTTTTCCCTTCTTTTTAGCGTCATCTTTATACCAATTAAACGAATATTTTGATCGCAAACTTTACTGCTTTGAACGCTGCGTTCAATTTGGATACAATTTTGTTGGGAACTTGTGACTTTACAATCAATAGGGTCAAATTCAACGAGTTACGTTTATGCTGATTAGTAGTAGAAGGACAGGTCAAAGTCGTACACTTTACTCGTAAATATCTCAGTATTTGGCCGGCCTTAATGTTCAACCTTTCTCAATTATGGATCATCAGAAATAATACTATATCGATCTCTATTTTCACTCAGGGTAGTAAGTCTTCTTAATATAGTATATTGTTAACTAAGTGTCACGGAAACTACGACGTCCTAAACGAATTTAAGTTACCATTTTTTCTTCGTTCTTTTCAGACCATTGATGCAGATTTTTTATATGTGGCATATGAATTATACACTACGTTAAACATGTTTTTGTATACTGAAGTAAATATTGTGTTTTCTCGGAGGAAAGGCGTGCTTCTATCTAGTTTGTTTATTCATTTATTTCAAGTCATTGAATCAATATGTTTGTAAATTGTATATGACATTTGTATTTTTAATTATTTATAGGATACTTTAGTGTTCATGTGAATTCTCGGTGAAAAAAAAGAGTGTTTTCTCGGTGAAATTATTTCAAGTTGATCACTACGACAGAACTTCACAGTCTAGAGAGAACTAAACGTTTCGGCAACCCGGCTGACTGAAGCTGTTCATTATTTGTGTGTGTGTTTTATGACATTATTCCCGTCCATACTATATATGTATATATCAGTAAACGATATTTTCTTACTGAATGAGCTCACCATAAATTTCGACTTCACAGAGTTCGAGGATAGCTTTGTCAGAATACCAATCGAAACGTTTGTTTGGTCGTCGATCAACATAGATAGTCAGGTAGATTGTGTTGCCTGTACACGATTGAATAGATGGAGCAAGGTCCATCGATTGCCATGTAGATGTTGTATCTGTATGACAGTTGTCACCGTTTCTCCAATCTGTTGTATTTGATAGGTATATCTGAAAGCCACCAAATCGGCTTGATCGTTCTTTGGCTACATCATCTGTGCGAAATAAACAGTAAATCTTAAGCTTAATGGATATTGCTGCTTATGACAACACCGAAATTTTACTCGTTTCAATTGCAACATTGACATAATAAAAATGCGATCTATAAAAATTGCATTTGAATTATGTTGAAGGTAAATGCGATTAACATTGCTTGCATTATTGATAGTATCTACGCTACGTATCATTTTTATGCCCAATGTTCATACTCATGTGCAACATATAACATATTATAAAGATCGTATTGGTAAGATACATGTTCCGGAAAACACGCACTATTATCTAAGAATACTTAAACTAAACAGTACCCAGTAAGTATTATTACTATTGTTTACCAGGTGTACGATCTATCACCATAATCATACAACGGTGTAAGAAGCTCAATACCATAGTTATTATGTCACATAGAAACATACCCTCACACTACAAAAATGGTGTATTACCTTATTGCTACGGCATGTTTATTACGTTTAAGTGACATGAACTAGAAAAGGAAATGTTCATGTGCTTTGTTTCCTACTTACTTCTGTTGTATATTTTCACAAGTTCAATAACGACTGGACCACCAAGGTTAATCTGCCACCAAGCTTCCAACAGTGAAGGGTTTGCTTGTGTATGTATACAGCATTTATTTCCAAAGTTCTGATTAATACAGCCATCAACTGCCTTTTCACTTGTGAACGTCATGTCATGATTTGAGCTTTGGCTTGTTGTCTTGACGTTTGGATTACGACACACCCGAAATAAAAAAAAAAAAAAAAAAAACATGTAGCGACAGGCAGAGCGATTCACTGAAACAGCCCTCTCAATATTATTTCTATATACCACTTTCTCCTATCACTTCATACTATTTCTTTTTATATATATCTACCCTTTCCTGATCACTGAAAGGTCGAAAGGTCGCAATACTGGAAGTAAAACCCGTATGCTACAATGAACATGATAATGTTGTCATTCACAGGATGTGTTAATAACCAGTGTCAACCAATTTTGGTTTATCTGAGCGTGGTCTTTGACATCAATTTGTGATATTTTTGAAACTCATCCTAATCCCCTACTTTGTCAATGCATCCAACTATCATCCAACCTTAGTTCTCTTGACTATGAAAAAAGACGTTAAACATTTGGACAGACAGTATGGTGAACAAGGCAACAGGAGCCGAAAATTTTGGATCGGACATGTCATCCACCGATGAGAGGCTTCATTGATGATCTGACCGTAACAACAACATACCATATACAAGAAAGATGGGTGTTAACAACACTAGAAGTAAACTTGCTATGGGCTCGCATCAATTCAAGAGGAAGAAGTCGAGATGCCCAGTCCTGAAAAGCGACCATATAGCTCAATGAAGGAGAAAAATGCAGAATGAGAAGTTTATAACATATTGGTCAAAGTATGAATGATAAAATGTGGATGGTAACGATCTATAAGGAAAGAAATAATGCCTGGATTTACTAACATGGAAGAGATTCCTGTCAAAAGTGTTGACGGTTAGGGAAGTCAGTTGCAGCTACATGAGAAAACGTGCTGGGAGTCCAATTAGAGTTTACTTCAGTCGGATTGTATAGAAAAAATCCTCCAGACTGCAACTGCCAATTTTATCTATAGTTAAGGAATTCAAGGTAGCGAAGTGCCGGCTTGTCATGATTTTCAAGGCCAATACAGGATCGCTTTCCTAATGAGAGTATGAATCCTATTGACCTAGTATTTGGAGGATGCCTTTGGTCGGAATTAAAACAAAGCGGCGATCGCGCACCTAGTGGCATAAGCAATATGATCAACAACCCAGAAAGCTAAAGTTAAATCTAGATTATTACATCTTAAATACGTTTACTGGCGTTGCCAAACATCAAGACTAGTAGTATACCGTAAAGTTACAGGTGCATTAGGCTTCAGATCGAAAGCGGGCACTGGACTTTAGTCATAACTATGCCTACAGGTAAATTAACGTGCGTGTCTGTCCTCTCTCTAGTGTTAAAAGAAATAACGAAAACGGCGTCCATAATTGATTTTTAGTTGTTTTTTTTTATTTACGTTACCACTGTTTTGGTTGTTAACATTGCAATTAATATATTAACTGTTAATGTATGCTTAATACAGTTCCTAAACTAGAAGAAAATCGTGAGAATCTGTCTTCCTTTTAATGAAGATACCACAACATCGATATCACATTTCCTATAAAACAATTTACAGATGT